TGAACATGATGGAAATGTCAAAAAAGGAACAGGTCTGCACTTTTGGGGCCTAGGGCAGTTTGAGTTTATGCAGCTGAGAGCTGTGATGTCATTATGCATGTAACATTTTCTGTACAACCCCCAACCCCCAGTGCTTCTTATGAAATGTGATGTGGTGCTGATACTGCCTCTCACTGGCTAGCTGGCGTACTGCAGAGGAGTGGGGTGTAAGGTTTGGAGTGGTTTAGCAGCTGTAAGCAGGACCAAGCACTTAGAATGTGTGGCCTGCCTTGTTCTTTCTGCAGGCTGTGACCAGGCAGGGCAGTGTGTTTCACTGAGCTGTCAGCAGCAGGTTTCCATCTGAGGTCCATGTGTTCCTGCACACCCCCCTCAAAAGGCACACATGTCGTGGGGAGGAGGGTCTATTATTGTCCCTGCATTGGTGTGAGCTTGGGGCTTGGGCCTTGGTTGAATGCCGGCCTGCAATGCCCAGTCAGCCAGGTTTCCAGGAGCCCAACCTCCCATATCTGGTTGTACGTCAAAGTCACTCCCAGCTAATCCTTTGGGGAGATCCACGGAGACAATCGAGTCCCCAGATAGCTGAGTTAGGTTAGAGGTGCTGTGCTGAGCCGAAGGGTTACACAAGTTGGTCCTTTTTGATTTCCTCTCCTTTTAGTTTGCTTTGGGAACCTTGTTCTGGGGGCAGGGTGAGCAGTTTGTACCTGTCCTGGTGATGGCTGTTGGGAGGCATTATGGAGGAAATGAGAACAGCTTGTCATTTTTTTTTTTTCCCTCCATCCTTCAAAACCTAAGAATGTATGTTTGTCTTTTGGGGGACCTTGTGAAAACTGCCCACTTTTGGGCTGAAAGAAGAAATTGGCACCAGCAATTCTTTGTGTTTAAATTGTGTAAATCCAAACAATTGTAATACTTGGGTATGGGACGGCTTTCTTTAATGCATTTAAATGCTCCTTGGACGCTTATCTTCAAGTGCAGCACACCAAAATGTCCAGTGAAACCAACATCTTAAATGTCTTTCTGAAAGAGTTTGCCCACTTGGATGGTTTTCCCTGGAGAAGAGGGAGACCAGTGGGCTGAGATGCTTCTCTAATGGGGAGAGAGTCTTTTGTATGATTATCAAAAAGCAGTGTGTAATCAGTGTGGCAGAACTGGAAAAAAAAAAACGGCGCAGTGTCAGATGTACAACCAGTTACTTATATATGTATACTAGCAGTTCTCTTGTATAAAGACATGCAACTTCATTTTTAAGAGTCCTTAAAGGAAGATCTTTAAGAAACATTTTAATTTTTGTATTTTTTGATTTCAAGAGGCATGTTATGTCTACTTTTAAAGTGTATTAATGAAGATTTTAACTTTACATCAGGTCAAGTGTTTTTCTTACTATATTATCTGTGTATGTAGTTATAGTTAGGACTGTGTCACTCAACTGTAAAAATACAGCATGTAGAAAATGAGCCTGTTTTATGGGAAGATTCTTCATTAAATTTATCATGGCAGTTTTTCTGCAGGAATACTGTCTCAGGAGTTTTTAATTTTCTGTGTGCATGTGTCTCTGATATCAACCCCCCCCCCCCCCCAACTCACCCTTATTCTCCCTCCAACTATTTCCTCAAAGTTGGCAGCCTTGTTGATAAGCAGTTCTAGTCTAAAAAAATGTATGGAACAAAATGTTGCTGTTTTTCATGTTTTAACTTTGAATCTACCGTAAACAATCGTGCTGGTTCCGTAGCAGGAGTTTTGTCTACCCTTGATGTCCTTTGCTGTGTCACTTGGATACATCCTGTTTTCATAACTTGTAGTTTTCTGCTGTGGCGTTATGGCTTATTTGACATGGAGAAAACGTAACATTTGCATCTGTCTCTGTGTGCCCGAGACTTTTATGATTATTGGTACTTTTCTGACTGATTTATATTTGCGATTGCAGGGAGCCAACGATTGCTGTTCGTAAGTAAAACATACAGGCAGCAATACGACTTCCGTTTTGTATGTATTTCCTGCACACAATTTCTCGTGACATGCATTACCTTTCTGAAAAAATATGTATCCCTTAATGCCTACAAACTAAAGATCACAAAATGATTCTACAGTTTCACGTAGTGTTACGAAACTAATAGCATAGAGCAGTGGTTCCTGGGGCACTACATGGTGACACCCCCCCCCCCCCCAAATCCATATTTTTATTTCTTCGTTACACTTAGCTCAAGTAATTGCCCGTATGGTCAGGTTGGGGAGCTTGTAATGGTGCAGTGCGTTGCTGCAGCCACCACACAGCTAAACACCTTGGGATCCCAGTTGGCGATTCCCCCAGGCAGACACACGGTCCAGTCCCACCCTCCGGAAATGGCCATCGATCTGCCGCGGCCAGGTGTTACGTGGGTGTCCCCTCGGCCTGGTCCAGCCACTTGGGTCCCCAGCAATGAGGATCCTGTGAGCCGGCTCACCCTCAGGGAAATGCGCCAAATGGCCGTAGTGCCATAACTGACGCTCCCTCACAATGCAGGTAATGTGCCTCATTATAAAGTGCTTCATTCGGGACTCCTCTAGCAACCATTCATTCCACACAAAGTCAATCCAGCGGTACCCAAGGATTCTCCGAAGAGACACAGTACTGAAGGAGTCCAGTGTTTGTCTCAGCTCACTGGGTAACGTCCATGTCTCACAGCCATACAGCAAGACAGGGAGCACCAGGACTCTAAAGATTTGAACCTTCGTCCTCTTGCAAAGATATTGGAACCACCACACACCCCTTTCCAGTGATCTCATGACCCCCCCATGTTCTCCCAATTCATCTACTGACTTCATAGGAAGGGTCATCAGAGGCATGAATGTTGCTGCCGGGTTAAGTGAACCTGTCGACATTCTCTCCGCAAACAAACACTGCTGAACCATTAAGACTGGCTAAAATATTTTGAATTAATGTGATGAATCAAAATGTATTTTCCTAGAGAATTAATCCCAGATGGTGGCGAATAACTTCTATCAAACTATCAGCTCTATGTGTGATCAACAGGCCATGGGAAACTGCAAATATATCACATAAACCTTCAAAATAAGCATCATCTGAGTCAGACACCTACATCATTAAAGAAAAGTAACTGCCTTCGTTTTTCCGTTTCCAAAATCAGCCTTGGGGGTAGGACTAGACGTTGTAACAACTGCAAAGTTGTTGGTTGTGTCCCCCACTAAACTTCACTTTCCACTTGGTGGTTTCATGCGGCTGGTGCCTTACTGTGGTAAAGCTCCTCTCACATAGGAGATCTGAATCATTGGCCATTTGGCTACAAGGGTCCATCATTCTCCTTTACCAGCTTTCAGTCCCCCTACTAAGAATTTTTTTTTGGCCTGAATTTTATCTTTAAATAATCATTATAAGAATTGAAAAACTATGTGAAGCAGAATTTAGTTTGTGAACCATTGCTGCAAATAAAATAACGATTTATTGCGGGCTGGATCATGGTAGGCCTGCACCTGTTTAATTGGCTTTAGGAACTGAGCCGCCCGGGAAGTGGCCGCATCTGGCTCAGGGTCCCGTTTTGGCGCAACCTCGCGCTCCCGTTAGTGTTTCTGATTAGCGGGGTGTAAGTTACCGTCAGGACACCGAGGAACCAGCGCGACGCATGAATTTTTCAGCGCCGGCGGCTGTGTTTGTTGGCGAAATCCGTTCTGTGTATTTCACGGCTCCTCATTCGTACCCATTTTCTGCCGCTGCTCTTAATTAGGTTGTTGCCATGGGATAGAGTGGCCAGCGGACACTTTAGCCGCGGCGGATACGATGCACAGGCGGGCGGGCGGAGATGCTCTGGCCGCTTAACGTTGTTTGTCAGTGGGGTCGCCGTTTTAGCGTCAGGAATGGTTACCGAAGGAGAATTCCGGGATTTAGTGCTCTTTTGTTTTAATGCATATTTTGAATGACTGGCTTTGTCAAGTTATATTACACCGCATAAATTCATATCTAAATAGAAGTATAATTTGACATTTATCGTACAATTTTCTTGTTTAGAGGGTAGAATGCCACAAAGAATATTTTCTGTACTTTTTACGCTGAACACTCTTTTTGGTAAGTATATTTTTCCTCAGTTATAAATTTCACCCGTCAGCAACTAAATAATGTAACGTTGAGTTATCATAATTTTTGCGATTTTATTCCTGGTATCATGTCCATTATTTGATGTTTTATCACAACCCTAGTATTTGATAATGTTTTTATTTTTATATTAGCCTATGTTTCTTACGTGGTGCGTGGTTTTATGCTTCCTAGCTGGAAATAAATGCTCTTTCCGATTGTCCGTCTGCCTTCGCCCAGGAATCGTGTGCAGTCAGTCCGAGTCCAGCAGCGCTTCCAGCCCCGTTACAGTGACCAGGGGCGGCAACACGAGCAGCCCGGATAAAAGTGACTATGAAGAAAGTCTCCAAGAGTGTGTAAAGAAAATGCTACTTTTATCCGATAGTGGCGAAGGGGGGACGCCATCGGGCTCTAACCACAAAGATCAAACGGCATCCCGGCTGCGGTCGGATAACGTGCTGGACATCACCGATCTGTCCGTTTATTACAGCGCCTTGAACGGCCTATTAGCCTTTTATGGAGGGTTTTTAACAAAAGATTTCCTGAATGAGTTACCGAAAACGCTGGTGTGCATTTTGTCAGGTGGAGAGGAGTGCGGCGTGGAAGCGGAGTCCACGAAAAGTTTCATGACTCAGATGGAGACTCATGTGCGCTCGCTCCTCTCGTCGCTGAAAAGTCACACATGTCTGTCCTCGTCTTCCAGCGACAGGAATTCATATACATCAGCCTTTCAAAGTGTCTTTCAGATCGGAGCTTCGGCAATGACACAGTTAGTCTCTATTCAGGAATTCTTCATGTCCTCTTTGGTTTACATGCCCAAATACCTGTCTGAGTACCTGCTGGCCGGCTGGCGTGTCTTCACTGACCTGACCTTCCCCCCTTTAGTCAAATACCTTTCCGGCGTTGTCGTCAAATATGTCCAAACCCCTATAGACTATGTAAAAATCGGATTACAGTTCTTCATTAAAATCCCCGTTTTAAACCAAAGTGGACAATGTTATCAAGGTACGTTAATCGTGTCTTATGTATGCAAAGTATATTAACAGTGAAATACTTAAAACTGGTACTTTGTCATATATATGTTTTTGTTACCTAGGTTAGGTCACCTTTCAATTTCAATGATGCTTATTTTATTCTTTTTGTATTCAGGGGACTTGAAGCAGCTAATAATGTGGTGAGTCCTTGTTTATATCTAGGCTACTGCATGCATTTATAACGTTACAAACCTTGTAAAACATTTATTGTGACATTCTGCGGTGGATTCCTAACATTTAATGCAATATAGAAAACACCTACCGTGTTCTCAAAACATTACATTGTGTATCAAAGTTTTCTATAACTGGAAATTATGATATAGCTAACTTTATGATGAAATATTCCAAACAGCAATTTGAGTATATGTTTTTTTAATTTCATTTTAAAATAATATGTTGCTAATATGTGTTAGAAACAAATTCTCTTTTGATTGCTTTTCTGCTTAATCACTTGGTCACTGAGTGAACTATATGTTTTATTCAGGGGAATGAATCACAACGTGAGCTGGTCCTTTGGCGAGTCACTCATGGATATTTTCCTGACACCGGAACCAGCTCCTTGCAGCTACATGAGCTTTGGATGCCATGGTGCGCCTAGCGCTCCTTCAGCCCGGACACTGGCCACAGAGATCCCCGCTCCCCTACTGGACTGTGACCAGCATCACATCTCCAGCCTCAATGAAACTTTCTGCTCCGAGTTCCTCTCCCTGGGGCTACAGAAACCGACTGTGCTCTTCTCCTTCTGTAAGGCGATGAGTGTCCTCAACACCACCCAGATGGACTGGACCTGGAGGAATGGGTGTCGTTTAATTCGCTCGCTGCTGTCACCCTTTTTGAATGAGTCTGGTTGTGCTGGGGCTGCCCCCTTCCAGCCACAAGGAGTCAGGTCACCCCTCAGCCTGAGCCTGCTGTTATGTGATTACAAGAACTGGACCAGTATGAATCGTGTGGACCCAGCCTTGGTAACCTTGTGCAGTGACAATGACAGGACAGAATTTATCCGTGTGGTGTGTCACACTGTCAGCCTTATGCATCTTCTGGTTGGAGACACTAACAACGCCTGGGTATGGAATTTCTGTTCCAACTTTTCAGATGCCAATGTGATAAACCTTTATTGTACCTATGAGACCTGGCGACTAAATATGGTGGATGTCTCCCTTGTTTCATTCTGCTGGAACATGGACCGGCATCGCCTGGAGAGACTGCTCTGCGATGACGTGGATTTTTACATGCGTTTTTTCTCCGAGACGCAGAACGCCTGGCTGTCCCTCAGCTGTGAAAATCTGGAGCCACCCATATCAATGGACATCGCCGCCCTAGTGGCTGGGACCTGTCGCTACTCTGATTGGAGAAAACCAGCCCTGGTACCTGGAGATGTGCTCCAGTTGTGTGTCCAACACGACGAGCTCGGCTTTGTCCAGGCCATTTGCTCAAATTCCACTTTCCTGACAACGTTGCTGCAAAATAAGATGAACTCATGGGTGGGGGATCTCTGCAAGGTGGCCCTTAGCTCCGTGATCATGGGTTCCCCCACTGTCCTGGGCATCAAAGACTGGTGCAACTACCGAGAGTGGGCAGTGAAAGCGGTGGATCCCTCAGTGGTCGGCTTCTGCTGGCAGTATGACCAGATCAGCTTCCACAAAAACGTGTGCTGCATCATGCCCATTTATGAGAAGCTCATTCTTGTGTCGGGGAATGAGTGGCTGACATCGGTGTGCTCTGACCTTGAGATGGTGGATGTGTTGCCGCAGGTTTGCCGCTATGATGACTGGGGCACCCCGACGATAGTAGACATGACTGACCTGGCCCTCTGCGCGGAACTTGATTCCCAGAACTTCACTCAGAGAGTTTGTGCCAACGCCACCGTACTGAGGAACCTGCTGGCCAACCTGGATAATACCTGGCTGCTGCAACACTGCAGCAACCACTCGGGCGGGAACAGTCCGGCTGGTGCTGGGGAAGACCTGCTAGGGTTCCGGCCCGCTGAGCAGTGTCAGTACCACAGCTGGACCGTGGCTCTCCCAGACGCGGCCCTACTGGCCCTGTGCTGGGATTACGACCAGGCTAACTTTGTGTCCACCATCTGCAGTGACGCCCTGCTGCTCTCCCAGTTGAGCCAGGAGCCGTACAGTGTGTGGGTTGCCACAATCTGCCCCACTTACACGAATAACACCCACGGTAACAGCACAGCCTCCAGCTCCTGCCTGGCCAGGGACTTTGTCAAGCGACTGAACTGGTCCTGCAGCACAGATTTCACTGCGGCCTGTCGCCCGGGGGCTGCCCAGACTCTGGGCCTGCAGCTGGTGCTGCGCTGCAGTGTGGAGGCCCTGCAGCCGCAGCTGAAAAAGCTCTTGACCGGGGAGGTTTCCTCTCTGGTGGCTCAGGCCACCACACAGCTGGTTCTCCTGCTGCTGGCCCTGGAGGAGAGGCAGATGACCTCACTGCACGTCACCGAAAACATCCGGCTCAGCGTGCTGCAGTCTGTCGTCCGCTACCTGGACCGCGAGATGGACTTTAACAACAAGAGAGTGCTGCTTCAGTGCTTTGGGGTGACGAGCCATTCAGTCGCATCAACTCATTCTTCACTCAAAATTATTGCACATCATATGAATTAATTGAGAGTTTAGAAACCGAGCACACATTTTTGAGTCAGCATATATATATTTTTGAAGCATACGAAACAAACTAGATGAATTATAATTACCATTGACTGCATACAGAGCTGACTGATGCCAGTTTCAGTCATTATAAGCATATAAGCCCATTGCCTTTATGATTATAGGATTACAGTGGTGCAGCCCCCAGCAGGGCAGTCATGATGCATTTGATGCTTGTGTATTATTTAAATTTGTATTGTCGCTTTGCTGGTTTTAATGATTTGGTGTGTTTATGGTGTGTGTGTGTGACACAGAGGGTGCTGACCAGCCTCATACAGACCGGCAGAGATGTGACTACTGATGACTACTTTCATATCAAGGTCAGAAAAGCTGCCAGTTTCTTCCCACACCGAAAGGTTCCTGTTCTGGTTCCTGTGCTCATTGTTCATCAGTGCACACCTGTGGTTGCTGGTTTTACCGTGTATTTCCTCTATGTGTGATGTAGTGTGTTTATTTTCAGGAGTATTTCCGCATCCCCCCGGCCAGTCTGAGATCCGTGCTCAGCGCTGTGGACGTCATGACAGTCAGGCAGATCCTGCTGTACTACAGCAGGAACCAAGACACCCTGCAGGCGAGCTGAATGTTCATTCAAAATCCTCCCAGGTTTCCTGCCGTACAGAAAGTGTCTCACGGTTTTCTCTCCCCGGCTGTCTCTCACTCCACCCCAGGCCTCTACAGACTACCTGCAGAGCATGGTCTCCATCTTCTTCCAGACTCATCTGGCTGGAGACTCAAGCCTTTTCCCTGACCTGGTGCCCCTGCTGGACGCAGCCAGACCTGCGGACATCCTCGCTCTGCCGGCGCTGCAGGACAAGGCGAACGTGTGAGTTCAGTAACTCCCAAGCAGGACCCAGGCATGTTAGACAAAAAAAAATGCCGGGCTGAGTTAAATATTAATTAACGATACTGACGTCTGCAGTAAAGCAACACCTAATTAATTTTGGTGTTGCTTGCTAGATAAATAATTGGCGACTGATATTGCCTACTGGTTATCAAAGCTAGTGATGGTTTAATTAACCATCACAGCACAACTCATGACTTTGCAAATGATTATAAAAGACCACAAATGCTTAATCATTTTATTCTTCTCATGAGCTCAAGCTATTCTTGGCTCTCCTGGTGAAAATGTCTGCAGGCTGCAGACGATCAACACCCAGATCGGCAGCCTCTCCCTGGAGCAGCGCAGAGCATTCGGAAAGTGGTTTAGTCAATCTCTCAGCTTCCTGAACATGACAGCCGCGGGCCCGTCTCTCATCACGGACATCGGTAACCTGATAACCTATCTGCCATTCTCCAGCTTCCAGCACCTCTCACCTGCTCAGGTAACAGCTGCAACACCTCCTGGGGAAACTGAACACGCTCTGAATGACCGAGAGCAAAGGCTCTCAGCAGTCAAACGGATCTATTGTTAAGGCTGCATCCTCGCCACGTGTTCAATAAACAAACAGCGACAAAGCCCAGTTCTTTCATCAGAGATTGAAACTATATATTAAAACATCACCCTATCAGCGCACAGTACAGCAGTTACATAAAAGCATGCAACATGCAAAGGATGTAAATTTTCATTAACACAGTGTCCCTCTCTCTTGGAGTTAATAACTAATAGATTTGCTGGGGTGTGGTTCTGGGTCCAATATTCAGCTGCTGGACGGGTTGGACGTCTTACTGATAAACCCACTGAGTCCCCTTCAGGAGCAATTTGTGGCTCAGACCATTTTAGGAATGTTCACAAACCTAACAGCAGACGACTTCCGAAGGTTGGTGTGTCATCCTGCTTAGTCCAAAATGGGTTTGACCCCCGGTTTGATTGGGTTTTTTTTTTTGCGTGTTTTCTCTGTAGTGACTCGTGTGTTTCTCTGAAGTAACATGCGTGTTTTCTCTGTAATGACTCGTGTGTATTCTCTGTAGTGACACGTGTGTATTCTCTGTAGTGACACGTGTGTATTCTCTGTAGTGACTCATGTGTTTTCTCTGTAGTGACTCGTGTGTTTTCTCTGTAGTGACTCGTGGCATCTCCAGGCTTTAATGAACTAAGCTGGGTGTTCAGAGCATCTGTTTTCACTGCGAGTTACACCGATTTGTTTCATGATGTGTTTCCCAGGTTGGGGGACCTGACGTGTCTCGCACGCCCAAAGGACCTGCTGGTGTACAGGAATTCGGAGGCCTTCGGGGTGATCCAGGAGAACGTGCGGAGATGCGTGAGCCAGGGACTCAAAGTGCCTAGTGACATGGTGAGCTTTGGAGTAACCAGGCGCTTGGGACATGTCATCTTTTACCGTGTGGTTTGCCTAACATTGCTGCTGTGGAGCAGTTTTGTAGCTTCAATGTTAATGTCTTAATTAATTAATATGCTAATGTTGTGCTTCATTAAAACATAAATGGACTGGGGCTGTAAAGTACAAGCAGTGCTTTGGTCTTCAGAAAAGTAAAGCAGAATTTTTTCAGAAGAGGCTATTCGAGACATTGTAGTTTTATTTTATTTTATTTTATAATCTAAATAACCTGAAGTATCAAAGTATCATAACTGCTGAAGTTCCAGATTTTACAAAAAGCAAAATAACAATGTGAGCAGTGTTCAGAACACATTCAGGCACACAAATACAGAATCTTTTTCTAGATTTCAGTCATACGTCAGACTTTCCCATTTTGCTGTATGTCTCCACATTTTGCAGTGGTATGTGCTGTTGCTTTTACTTCACGTATGTGTAATGGCACCTGTGTTTGTGCCTTTCTTACTCTGTAGGTCTCTGGCTTATTCCTGAACAGCACTGAGCTGCAGGAGCCAGCTTCTCTGAGCCCTGAGCGCATCAGACAGCTGGCTGTCTTCCTGCCCTGGCTGGGCGCCGGCTTCCTCAAGCAGCTCAGCCCCTCGCAGCTCTACCCTGTGCTGCCTGAGCTGGCCGCTGTGCCCTTCACGCCTGTACAGGTGCCCAGCATTGGCTCCATACCTGTATGCGCAGTCCACATGCGCAGTATGCTTAGTGGTGCGGTTCAGCTGTCCGGCTTCCCGGCAGCATGAGAGGATGGGGGTCGGGGTTCGTGAGACAGATGTTATATGGCTGAG